AGACAGAGAGAAGATAGATCTAAAAAAAAAGATGAAAAAAAAAGATGATGAAACGAAAGAAAAAAAATGATGAAGTGAAAAAAAAGATGATGAAACGAAAAAAAAGGATGATAAAACGAAAAAAAAGGATGATAAAACGAAAAAAAAAGGATGATAAAACGAAAAAAAAAGGATGATAAAACGAAAAAAAAGGATGATAAAATGAAAAAAAAGGATGATAAAATGAAAAAAAGGATGATAAAATGAAAAAAAAAGGATGATAAAACGAAAAAAAAGATGATAAAACGAAAAAAAAAGGATGACAAAACGAAAAAAAAGGATGATAAAATGAAAAAAAGGATGATAAAATGAAAAAAAAGGATGATAAAACGAAAAAAAGGATGACAAAATGAAAGAAAAAAGATGAAGTAAAAAAAAAGATGACAAAACAAAAAGAAAGAATGACAAAACAAAAAAAAGGACAACAAACAAAAAAAAGGATGACAAAACAAAAAAAAAAGGACGACGAAACGAAAGAAAACCTAGACAGAGAGAAGATAGTCCTAAAAGAAAAGACGAAAAAAATATGATATAACTCTAAAGAAAGACGTAAAGAAAAGGGCCTAAGAGATAGAAGACATAATAAAGAAAAGCTTAGGCAGAGAGAAGATAGACCTCGAAAAAAAAGACGATGAAAGTATATATTGTGTATATATAATATTGTTAGCTGACGAAAAAAAAGATGAAAAAAAAGAGGGGTATTGAGGGTATATAAATACTTTTTCGAATACACAGTGACTAATAACAAGATAGTTAGGGAGTATAGTATCTTGCATAATACAATTATTTGACAATACAATTGTTTTGACAATACAGTTGTTTCTGGTTTTGAAAAAAAAACTGGAAATAAAAAAATAATAAAAAAAAGCCTCGGCAAACACGATAAACACGATATACTGCGGCTGTTTACGCTTTAGTGTAAACTTTTATTGATAAAATGTTGTTCGTCACCAGTATAACGTGATAATAGTCTCGTATGTTACACGTTGATTATCAATTGATTACTTCATTGAATAAATTTATATTATCTTCTTGATATTCTCACGGGTGGTGTTTATTTAAAAAGATAGGTAAAAAGTCTATCAATATTGGAACAAAAAGTCTATCATCATTAGTCAAAATAAGTATATTAAAGGCTTTATGGTATGGATACCGTGAGATAAATCAGTTATTTCACGGAGTCACTGATTTTCACGGCTGCACCGTGAAATAACTATTACGTATAATTTTTTCCCTCACTCCCACAAACTCTCATGATCTTTCACATTCCCTCCTCCTACATTCTTTATTCTTGATTCGTCAAATAATTTATTTTAAAAAAATACATTACTCGTTAGTTGCCTTTTATTTTTTATTTTTTATTTTTCTTTTATTAAAATAAGTAATAATATTTTGATAATTCAATAATATTAGTATTTTTAACAGTTTTTTTTTTATTTTTATTTAATAATTTTTTAACATTAAACGATTTTTTTTTAATAATTTTTTTTAAAAAAAAATTAAAAAATTAACAATATTATATATATTTTTTCACGTTTTATATATATATATTTATAATATATAATTGGACACACGTCTAACAATAGGTATATCCATTTTATATATATTACGTAATTACCTTTATTTTTAAGATATTAGATATTCATAAAGAACTTTAAGAAAACACCACTTATCTAAAAAATATATATATATATACCAATTTTTTCAAAATTTTTATCCTATCTAAATAATTTAATGATTAACGCGTTTAAAATTATTTCAATTTTATTTTAGTGGATAATTATTATAATCAATATCATAATCAGTTTATATCAATAAAATACTTTAGTCAATCTAAATATACAGTACAAAAAATTTATAAATCAATAATTTTTTTTATCAAAATTTCTATTTAATTAATAAATTACATATCGTGGTAGTATACACTCTAAAGCATCTTTGGTTTATGTACTCATTTTTTTAATAATTATCTGTGCGCACATGATGATATATCCTAATGTCATATAATCCTATTATAATTAATATAGTCTATTATAATGTAATATAGTGCTATTATACAATGTAGTACAGCATATAGTGCATGAT